AGAGAAAGTAAAGAAGGAAAAACAGGGATTAAAAAATGAAAAGGAAAAGGAAAGAAAGTAGGAAAGAATGATTGCAGAAAAATAGAAAAGAAAAAAGGAAAAAGGGAAAATAAGGAAGGAAAGAGGGATTAGAAAAAGAATAGAAAAGGAAAAAGGAAGGCAAGCGACTCATTAAAAAAGAAAGAAAGGAAGGAAAGAGGGATTGGAAAAAAAAACTAAAAAAAGAAAAAAAGAAGGAAAATGACTCGGAAAAACAGAAAGAAAGGAAGAAAAGAGGGATTGGAAAAAGAATAAAAAAAGAAAAAAGATGGAAAACGACTCGGAAAAAGAGAAAGAAAGGAAGAAAGGAGGATTGGAAAAATAGAAAAAGTAAGGGACTCGGAAAAAGAAACAGAAAGGAAAGATGAAGGATTGGCAACAGGAAAGAAAAAAGGAAAGAAGGGAAAGAGTGAGTCACAAAGAAAAGAGAAAGGAAAAAGTAAGGAAAGGGTGTTGGGAAAAAGAGAAAGTAAAGAAGGAACGGGGGATATGAAAAAAGAAAGAAAAAAGAAAGAAGGAAGGAAAGAAGGGTTGGAACAAAAAAGGGAAATGAAAGAAGGAAAGAAAGAATTAAGGAAGGAAATTTAAAATAATGTACAAATAGAAAATAAAATTTGAATTTAAAAGAATGAAGCGAATGAAAGCGCTAAAATAGAGAAAACGTTTGTAAAAGAAAAGTAAAAAAGTAGAAAGGGAAAATAAAGAATTCAAGCGAATGGAAAGAATTAAATACAAAAAGAACTTCTTTTTTTTTTTTTAAATCAATTCACTCCGAGCAAAGCGATAATACCACTAAAACACAAGTTTTTGCTGGGAGTGAAAGAGAACGAGAAGACTTCAGAGGAAACCTAAAACTCAACCTTAAACGAGATACAAGGGATCATCCTCTACTCCTGTTCAAAAGACTGAGGAGGAGTTGGAATAATAATAAATTATTTTGTAATATTATGTGTATGAAGTAAAAGAAAATAATTTTAAATTTGCGTTTTAGTTGCTTTATTACCTTGGAGAGAAATTATTACAAAAGTTTAGAAACTTTAAAAAGTAAATGGTTTTATTTTGGCGATAGTTTGAAAGAAAAATCTCCCACGAACTAATGGGATTATATCGTATTTCTGAAATACGATATATAAGAGAAATATATGTCAAAGAAGGGGCGTTATGATTAATGATGTTCGGAAGATGACAATTAAAACGGAAACATCAAAGGGAAAATTTTCGTCTTAATCACCGAATAGATCGTGCAAGAGATCATCCTCTGACATTCTGGTCACCCTCAGCCAATCTGTCTCTACCCTAATTAACTAGCAATCCGTAAAGGCATGGAACCTGGAATCCAGGCGGTTCTCCGACGTGTGAAAATCCTCACCTGAAGAAAAATGAGCAAATAAATGATGGAGAGTTGAAAACAATTATCCAGGGTATCAGGATGAAACAGGCTTGAGTGATTTGCACAAACTCACAGTCTGTGATAAAGTTATTAGTCCCGATTCGGGGATTGGCATCTCTCATCTCACACACACACACACACACACACACATACACACACACACACATGCATATAGATAGAGAGGGGGTGAGAGAGATTGAGAATGAAAAACACAGATGAAAAAGAGACGAATAAAAACAATATGAAGAAATTCGGTGTGCAAAAGAGAGTTTGTGTGAAAGAGAAAGTAGAAGAAGAGAGAAAGAAGAAGAAGAAGAAGAAGAAGAGAGAGAGAGAGACAGATAGACAGAGAGAGAGAGAGGGGAGAGAGAGAGAAAGAAGAGAGGAAAAGAAGAGGGGGAGAAAATTAAGAAAGAAAGAAACGCCTTAGGTGGGAAAGTGACGATAAATGAACAAAAAATACAAAGCAACTTTCATCACAGAGTGTCTGGTCTTATGGAATGCTGGGACTTCCTGTCTATATCGAATGTGTGACCATAGTATTGTTAGAAAACGTTTTTTTTTTTTAGAGGTTCCATCGACTTGCTATGAATTTCTGTTGCAAACACAGCTGTGAGCCATTAAACTCATGAAGTACCCGACAGAAATATAGATCTTTCTTGTACATATGTGTATATATTGGATTCGTTTCAAGGACGTCTGCCAAAAGAACATGAGCGCGACGGACATGGACATCGCGAAGAGGGAAGACGTCGCCAACGCCACTTACACCGAGGGCTGGAGCAGCGAGAGAATAAACGAGGGCTTGCCGCTGGGGAGAAGCGTGCTCGACGGAAAGAAAACAACAAAGCGGCAATATCGAGGGGGGGGATGTCTACACATGCATTCGTCGCAATCGAGACTGTCACTCCCATGTGGGACTGTACAGCCATAACAGATTCTGCACCGCCATCAGCAGCTGAGGCACAACTCTTTGGGCGCAGGTCCAGAGACCAACTGATGCCACACACACATTGGATATGTGTGAATTTGACATTAAATAGATATGTATATGGACCAAGAACAAAAATTGTTCAGTCTCGGTGACCGCTGTCGCATTGACGTCAACCTCTTAGTTCAACAAAGAAAGTGTTGCCTCAGGGTTGGAATCGCCGGAATAGGGTGTCTAATCTCATCTCATTTGAGAAGAAAACAGATACTACGCTTTCATCCCAGTCAAAAGGCCAAGATGCGATTATTTACCAGACACCTACACTAAGGTAGGATGTAACACCCGGTCGGTTTTAAGGTAGGGTACCCATAAACATGAATATGCAAACAGGCCAAAGACAAACATTGCCCTGTCCATGCAACGACTGTCACGCTTGCATCGATACTACGACCCAACTTCTCTTAGAGCAATGAGAAAGATGTTGCCGTAAGGTTTGAAATCCTCGAGACTGGATGCTTTTCCAATCTAAAATAAGTATAGAACAGATACTACGCCTTGATCACAGCTAAAACGCAGAGAAGCGATAAAATAATTAAAATAGATGATATACTCCGTCACACAAGCTCGGTTTAATGTGGGGTGTTCATATGCATTCAAAAACATATCCAGTACTTGTGACTGCTAAGAGAGAGAGAAGTGGGGGAGAGAGAGAAAGAGAGAGAGAGAGAGAGAGAGAGAGAGAGAGAGAGAGAGAGAGAGAGAGCAGATATTACATGTTTATCCCAACCCGAAGGTAGGGTAAATATATTTACCCACCTCTCCATAGTGACCTCCCTATTGGTTTAACGTGGAGTATCCATACGCGTAGATCAAAGATAAAAATCTCCCAGTCCTCACGACAACTGCCACGCTAGCGTTAGTATCCACTGAAACGAGGAAGGTGCTGCCGTAGAGCGTAAATCCTCTAGGCCATGCTTCCATAAAAGCGAGAACAGATATTACACTCTGGCCGCTGTTTATCTACCTCTCCACGGTAGAATGATGGAACATGTCGATTTGATGAGGGGTTTCCATATGCGTAAATATGGGCCAAGGATAAAACTGCCTAGTCCCCGCGACCAGTGTAATGCTGGCATCGGTATTCCCCAACCTTCTCTCTTTAGATTAATGTGGAAGGTGCTGACGTGTTGAAATCCGCGGAAAAATGTTCTCCATAGAGATTTAAGAGGAACAGATACTACGCTCTGATAGGTACATTATTTACATTATTCGGACTATTGTCCTCATCTTTGTCGCCATATTTATCACAACGTTTCGGCCGTTGTACGCTCCGGCCTTCTTCAGGTGGTTGGAATGTCGAACTGAACCTGTATTTCGTTCGCAGGGGTAGTTTGTTCCAGTTCCACGTGCCATGTTTAATGGTTGTCAGGTATCAGTTATCACCTGTTAATTCCCCTCTCCAAGTTCTCCACTGCCTTAACCGGGTATTGAACTCACATTCTTTGGGTCCTGTCACTGGATCAACCAACGCTTTTATCCTCTGTGCCATGTGTCCTTATGATAAATATGGCAACAAAGATGAGGACAATAGTCCGAATAATGTAAATAGTGTACATAATACCTCATCTCAGAAATATAGACAGATAGTGAAAGGCCGAAAGGTTGTAATAAATATGGCAACAAAGATGAAGACAATAGTCCGAATAATGTAAATAGTGCACATAGTACCTAATCTCAGAAATATAGACAGATACTGAAAGGTCTAAACCTTGTAATAAATATGGCGACAAAGATGAGGACAATAGTCCGAATAATGTAAATAGTGTACATAATACATCATCTCAGAAATATAGACAAATACTTAAAGGCCGAAATTTTGTAATAAATATGGCAACAAAGATGAAGACAATAGTCTGAATAATGTAAATAGTGTACATAATACCTCATCTCAGAAATATAGACGGATACTGAAAGGCCGAAACGTTGTAATAAAAATGGCGACAAAGATGAGGACAATAGTCCGAATAATGTAAATAGTGTACATAATACCTCATCTCAGAAATATAGACAGATATTGAAGGGCCGAAAGGTTGTAATAAATATGGCAACAAAGATGAAGACAATAGTCCGAATAATGTAAATAGTGTACATAATACCTCATCTCAGAAATATAGACAGATACTGAAAGGTCTAAACCTTGTAATAAATATGGCGACAAAGATGAGGACAATAGTCCGAATAATGTAAATAGTGTACATAATACCTCATCTCAGAAATATAGACAGATACTGAAATGTCTAAACCTTGTAATAAATATGGCGACAAAGATGAGGACAATAGTCCGAATAATGTAAATAGTGTACATAATACCTCATCTCAGAAATATCGACAGATACTGAAAGGCCGAAACGTTGTAATAAATATGACAACAAAGATGAGGACAATAGTCCTAATAATGCAAATAGTGTACATAATACCTCATCTCAGAAATATAGACAGGCTTTGATAGGTATTTACCAATTTCTCCATGAAGGCTGGATAGTCGTTTTTAATGTGGGCTGGCCATCGATGGATATATAAGTCTGGAATAAAAATTATCAGTCCCCCTTAACCAATGTCATGCTGGTGTTCGTCTTCACC